ATCGAACTCATGTGGAAGTGGCTTCAGCCTCTCAGTGCTGTGCTTCAACCCGCTGCGCCACCAGGGAGGGTCACAGCTGGAATTCTTATCTGCCACTGATGGGAATCAAAATGGTACAGCAACTTTAGAAAAAACACTTTAGCAGTTTCTCACACAGTTAAATTCTATTATTTGCCATACAGCTTAGTAAAACAACTCTGAGGTATTTACTCAAGAATTGAAAACATATACACATAAGGACATGTATATAATCTTATAGTATAATTCATACTTCATGAAGATTGGCTACAATCTAAAGGTTTACCAGTATTTGAACATCAAATGGGCAAATAAAATGTGGCCTATCCAACCAGGAAATACTACTAAGCAATAAAAAGGGACAGCTACTGTCATATGCTACAACACAGGTGAATCTCAAAAACACCACACTAAATAGAGTTCAGACTCAACAGGTCCCCACTGTATGGCTCCATATATATGACATTCTGAAATGAGATCCATGGTTATCTGGGACCAGGTGTAGGGGGAGAGAGTTGACTACAAATTGACACGAGGATATTTTTTTATGCTCGAAAGTCTTGAAAGTGGTGGTGTTCACAAAACTATACATACTGGCTTAAAGCCCATCCAAATGTACACTGACTTTGAGTCAATTTTATTGTATGCAAATTATGTCTTAATAAAACCATTACAAAAGTTTAAAACATACGGATACATATGCATAGAAAATAACTGTGCTTTTCTCTTATGGAATTTGGGTACTTTTAAAATTTTTTTCTCCTGGCTTATCTAAGTTTTGTAAAATTTCCACAATGATTATGGAGTGTTGGTGTGGAGAGCGAGAAAAGCCAACAATAAAATGCTATAAACATAAATAATTGGGTTATTCAACAAGGAATCTATTCTTGATTCAACATTGTTTGCTTGTAATGAAGCCCATTTGGGTCACCTCCTTCTCATCTATCTTTCCTCAGTGGCACTTCTGAGGGGTGAGCTGAGGAAACAGATGCAAAAAGGTACAGAGCTTAATAGCAATGCTTTGTCCATGTAGCTCTTGGTTTGGCTCTCACCTTGATTTTTGGATGAATACACAGAAGGCTAATGATGGGGGGCTCTCATCCTACTTTGCCAACTCTGCCCTCCATTCCAACTCAGATCAACTCATGTGTCCTCCAGCCCCTAAGAGAAAGTCCTCAGGAAGATTGTGGTTTGCAGGGTCCAGGCCCGGCACCCGCCTCCAGCTCACATTGGTCTGTGAGTGCTGCGTGGTCTTGGTGAAGTCAAGAGACCATTCATCAGTGAAAACCCGTGATTAGAACAACCGCTCGTGCTGCCCGTGGCAGGATGGGACACAGAGTCCCTCCAAGAACCGCTCTGGGGGTGAGCAGAGTCAACAGGCCTCTGGCCCTATTCCCCCATCACACATTCAGTTATTCTCCAAATTTTCCGCCCGTGAAAGGACAGTCACCTTAGGAGACCCGAGGGGCTCCATAAGCAGCCGATGGTTCGTCAGAAGTCGCCATTGCCTATCCTTGTTCCATGGGATAGCTGGACAAGGTCCCTGACAGGGACACAGGATTCTGGTGGGAATAATAAAGCTATAATTATAAAAATATTTTGATAAAATATCCCTTAGAGGGAACATACAGTCTTCTAGACACTCTAGCCAAGAAGTAAAGCAGCCGAAGCTCAGAAAGTTGGAGGTGGGCCCTGGGAAGTGAGGCAAATCATAGTTTTCTCAAGTGCTCTAATTTATAAATACTAAATTGAGAGGGTTTTGGAGGTCTCAACTTGGGGTCTCTGTTCTCCAAGACATTATTTTCAGGAAATGCTTTCAATATCTTAAAACTACACATATCATTCCAAATCATCCAAATGAGGAAGCCACCCAGATGTCCATCAACAGAAGAATGGATGAGCAGAATGTGCTCAGCCTTAAAGGAGAAGGACATTCTGATGCTTACTTCAACATGGATGAATCTTGAAGACATTAAACGAAGTGAAACAAGCCAATCACAAAAGGACAAATTCTGTATGTCTGATACCATGTGTAAGAGGCACATATGGGTATCAAATCCATTGAGTGAAAGTAGAATGGTGGTTACCAGGGCCTGGCAGGAGGGGGATATTATTGTTAGTGGGACAGAGTTGCAGCTTGGGACGTTAAAAAAATTTTTGGAAATCAATAATGGTGATGGTTACACAACAATGTGAATGAACTTAATGCCACTGAATGGTACATTTAAGCATTGTTAAAATGGTAAGTTGTATGCTTATATTTTACCACATAACAAAAATAAAATCAAACATCTACATGTACCCATCCACAAGGCCTCTCATGAAAGCATCAAGTCATGCCTGTTAGTATTCAGATCAAATCTCTGGGCAGCCATAACCTTTGATTGATTTTTTTAAAGAAATAAAAATAACAGCAAAATATATGAATTATGACTTAGTGCAGTTTTTTTGGCAGGCCACTCTTTCAAAGCATGGCATCTTTGGGGGAAAATAAAACAAAGGGGCCTTGGTAGAAAGGTTGGCTTGGGTGAGCACCCTGGTCTCCCCCCTGTAAAGGTTGTGATTTTGTGGTTGGGGAGTCCATGCTAAAGGAGAAACACACCCCAGACAGGAGACCAGACGTGTCTCCAGACAGATCCCACCCAGCCACAGGAGCAAGCATTTGGGTTTGAGATGGCCCTTTCTCTGGCCTATTTTTAGAGCCTGGAGTCAGAGTTCCTCCCAGTAAGCAGCTTGGAACTCTCTGGACTATATGACAAACAACTCAGATGCAGCACAAGACACGAAGTCCACACACATTCTACCAATGAGGGACAGGATGGCATGTCCCCTGCTGACATCCTCATCCATCACCCCAGACACCTGGACCACAGTGGGGTCACAATGCATCCTGGAAGCCTACTCAATACAGACAATGGATATTGTACCCAGAATAGCCCGGGCTAGATATGACAAGAATAAACACAAAAGACTCATTTCACAGAGCAAAAGCTTGGGAGTAGGGATTCTGGTTCTGATAGTATTCTGGTTCACCACCAGGCACAAAATCTTGGTGGGAGTTTCCAGCTCTCCTTCCTGTAGTGCCCAATCTACCTTCCTTGAGAGGCAGGGCACAGTTTGGGAAGAAATCAGAAGACAAATGATAATCCAAATTATAATCACAATGTGGCCTGTGACCTTTGCCTCTTCAATTCTCGCTTACATTGTGAAATGGCAACATCAGCCTCATTTGTATGAATTAAATGAGACAGTGTCTGGGGACGTGCTTGGAGATCACCCTGTACAACTGCATAGGAATTTTCTTCTGCTTAGGAATTTCCCTTTATCTAATACTCGGAGTGGAATAAACAGAACCAAGTCATTGTTTATTGAGTGAAACAATCAGGGCCAAGTCACATTCTCTGCTCTGACCCCTGGGAAAGCTGCTCTTTTATACTAAAATTCTAGCAACACTGTTTTCTGTAGAAATGCTGGAAAATGTCCAGTGAACCACAGTTTATTGGGTTACTGCAAAGACCTCTAAGGCAACCCCACCTCCCCCCTCACCTGTAGAGAAGCCCCATTTCTCCCAGGTGATGCAGGTGCACTGGTTGAGAGATATGGAAAGGAGGAAGTTCCTGGTCCACATTACTTTTGGGAGTATATAAGTTAGTTATCTGTGCCAGAGGGGGCTTAGTGTTTATCTTCCAGGAGGCCCCAAAAGGCACCCCAGCCACCACTGCCTCCTCAGCTTTGCCCAGGAGGGAGGAGGGAAAAGCGGACTTAGGGAAGGTTTTGTGCTTGCAGCTCCAGTGAACAAATGTGTTTCCAAAGGCAGCAAAAAACAATAGGTCCTGTGCTTTCTCTGCCTCCCGTCCATGAATAAATAGATGACTTCGAGTGGTCTTGCAGCTGCCTGTCGCATCGTAAGTTCTTGCCTGGGCCTGAGTGATGATGGTGGGCATGACGAACAGAGCTGGAAAGACTGAGTTCCTGCCTCCTTTCTCTGGGCTCAGACCCAGAAATCTGCAACTGATGCCAGCTCCCAGGGGCTCCTTGAGCAGCTGCTTGGATGTGACATCCTGTTGAAGTACTTTGGGGAGAAGAGAATGGCCCTGGCTTACCCCTTAGAACAAACAAGACAAACCGACATTGAGTTGGCAGGAGGGGCGCAACATGTTCTAGGAACCGGCAAAGGGAAGTGGCTTCGGTAAACATAGGGACTCTGGGGTACAGATGCAAAGCATCAAATGGGCTGGTCACCTTTGTGGTTTACTGCTTCCCAGCTGCCTAATTAAGACTTACACATTTCACCTTCTGGAGACAGCTGGAGATGGCAAAAACCATATACAGGCCCCGAGTCAGTCTCCTGGGAGAGATCCACTTAGTCATCTCCTCTCCTTAGATGAAAGGGAAAAGCGTGGCCTCCCTGGTGGCACAATGGATTAAAGCACCGCACTATGGAACTCTCTGAAGCCGAGTTCAATCCCCTGCCAAGCAGCTGTGGCAGACCTCTCCTGACCTGCCTGCTGCTCCCCTCAGCAGTGTATTTCAGTAGATCTGCCTGTTCTGTTTCCCACTCTGTCTCTGGTGAATCCTCTCAGCCACCACCCCCTCTGGCCTGTACCCCAGTTCTGTAAGCATAAATAAATAAATCTTAAAAAAAAAAAAAAAGGAAAGGGAAAAACATATTCATGGTGTTGTAAGAATTCAAATGATGTTTGGGGAGTCTGTCATGTAGAAGGTTTCCAGGAAAGTTAGCTCCTTTTCCCCTGAGGGGGCAGCCCGTGGAGAAGAAATCATTAGCAGCCCTCCACTGTGTTGAGTTTGAGAGGGAGAGCCTGAGGCACCCTCTCCTCACTCCTCTACACTTGGTTACTACACTTCCAGCTGTCCATGTCCCTCACTCAGGGGTCTGTCCTTGCTACACCACTCAGATATCCCAGGCTGGAATGGTGAGGGGCAGGTGGGAGCAACCCCGAGCCTCCTCTGCCAAGCCATGGTGGGCCACCCAGCCATTGCGCAGTGGACGGCCACCAGGCCTGGGGCCCCCACTGCTAGGCCCTGACTCCAAGGGCAGGCCCGAGTCACTGGGCTGCACCTCCGCGAAGACCCGGGAGCGCAGAAGCCCACTGGGTGGGTTAGAGTAGGTCTCCTTCTGCCTCCCCCACTGCAGTGGGCAGAGCTGCACGCGGAAGGCCGCCTGGAAGCTGCGGCGGAAGTTCTCGTTGAAGTAGCCATAGATGATGGGGTTGGCGCTGCTGTTGAAGAAGGCCAGCCAGTGGGCAAAGGGGAAGGCGTAGACCGTGACCAGGTGCAGCTGTGGCTCACTGAGCTGCCCGTAGTCGATGAGGAGCAGCAGGGCCCAGAGAGGCAACCAGGACAGCGTGAAGAACAGCGCTACCATGACTAGCATGTGCACCACCCTGGCCTTGCGCCTGGCCCCCAGGCGGCCCTCCCCCGCCGCCTCCTCGCCCGGGCGGGCAGGCCCTGAGGCCTTGAAGAGCTTGCGGGCGATGCGGGCATACATGACCACGATGAGCATGAGCGGCGCCAGGTAGATATGTGAGAAGAGCACAGTGGTGTAGACCTTACGCATGCCCTTCTCGGGCCAGGCCTCCCAACACGAGTAGAGCGGATAGGAGCGGTTGCGGGCGTCCACCATGAAGTGATGCTCCTCGCGCGTGACAGTCAGCGTGACCGCCGAGGGGCACATGATGAGCAGGGCCAGGGTCCAGATGACCGCGATGGTGACCAGCGCCTTCCGCAGGGTCAGCTTCTCGCGGAAAGGGTGCACGATGCAGCGGAACCTGCGGCGGGGAAGGACATTCTGAGAAGCTGGGTTCTGGGTGCTTCCGGACTTGGGAGCTGGCTGGAGGGGGTGTGGGCACTTTATGAGAACTGTACCTGAGCCTGCTTCAAAGAACAGCTCCGACATTCATTAGGTTAATTTGCAAACAGCTTTCTGGTTTAGGAGGGAGTCAGCCCCTAGGCTGAAAAGCCTAGGAACAAAGGTCAAAACAGGTATTTGAAAGGGGGAGAAGGAAACTACAGGTAATGTGGAAATAGTGTCAGTTCAGAGCGGAGTGATGAGTCTGCCTATTCTCTCCTTGGGTAGGCTCATAAAAAAACAAACCCAATATTTACTTGTAACTTGGGATTATCCCGAAAGCCAAACCAATTAGTCCAGGAAAGTCTAGGTTTCCAGAAAAATTTGGGAGTTGTGACAGGCTATCCCTATGACATCTTGGCCAGCATCCTTTCAACAGTGCCTCCATGGTATTAGGACAGGTCTGCGACATTTCCTTGTTAAAACATCGCAGCAGTGATTGTTATTACACCCTTAATTTACTGGCCAGAAATGACAGATTCAGAGGTGGTTCATGGTCAGACAGCTAGCAAGACGGAAGGACTGATCTTGAAGCCAGATTTGATTTGTTCCACTGCATCATATGAACCAGTAATTGTAAACCCTTCCTATGTATTAGCATTTCCTGAAGCATTTTTTAAATGCGTGTGCCTGCTCTAGAAAGGTCATGAAGAAATTTAGGAGCTGAACGAGCACAAGAACACAGGCCTAGAGTTGACTCCCAATCATTTTACAAACTGTGCCCTGCCCTCCTGCCTTCTCACCCTTCCCCCTACCTAAAGTTTCAATCTTTGGCCTACTCATCTTATAGACTCACATGCTTAAAACATGGTGAGAATAAATAATTTGTAAAGCATATAATACTGACTATAAGTGAAATTAGCAATGACTGGATAGAAGAGAATCCTGGAGCAGACGAGGAAGAATTCGTGTAAGAAGTAGGAATTTGAAAAATACTGCAACCCCCAGTAGAAGAGGCTGCACAGTCAGATATTATTAATAACAAAATAGAGATCAGGGAGGGAGAAGGACTTCCCTTCACAGCAAGGCTAGTTAGTGACCTTGCAGAAACAGGAACCCAATTCTGTCTCTCTAGCTGCTGATTTTGGTCACAAAACACTGGGCTTTTGTGAAAGCCTCTCACCTTTCCACAGCTATGATCACCAGTGTGAAAACAAACTGATATGGCCAAGTCCTAGAAAGGGCGGAGCTAAGAAGTATCTGTGGTGGGAAGAAGATAAGGAGGAAGATGTGGGTCTAAGGAAGAAATAAAACAACATTAACAGCTAACAGATTCTGTCTGAGAGTCTGTATCCTCTTTACAAACAAAAGCTCACTGTAGTGTATTTACCATTTTACAGGTAAGAAAATTGAGACCCATAGTAGATATGTGATTATCCGAGGTCATATCTCTATACGACCAAATAGGCAACAGTACCAGGTTTGAAGACAGAAGACAATGACCTCCAGGCCCTCCCTGGTGGTGCATGGGGTTAAAGCACAGCACTAAGAAGCTAAAGCCACTTCAGCATGAGTTTGATCCCTGCCCCGGAGGTGATCCACATGGTGGGGCAGACTTCTCCTGACCTATCCGCTGCTCCCCTCAGCAGTGTACTTGTCTATCTGCCTGTTCTGTTCTCTGCTCTGTCTCTGGTGGATCCTCTCACCTCTGGCCTATACCCCAGTTCTGTAGGAATAAATAAGTAAATCTTTAAAAAACAAACGAACTCCAACTTACCTGCCTGCTTCCCATACCCTGGGAAAAAGCACCTAGCGTGGACCCCGCATGAAAAAACATCCTGAGAAGGAGGCATGGGTGGAGTGGTACAGAAGAACCTACTGTAATTATGTCAGTTTTATTTTTTGCAATGTTTCCTTGGCCCCAATCCATTCCCAGATCCATGCTTATCATAGAATCCAATGGAATCAGAGGCTGAAAGATCAGAAGTCACCAGAGATGATGCGGAGACGGAAGCCAGCCAAGAAGTTATAGAGGAGCAGGAGAGACCCTTCCTCCCCAGACATGTTGAGGCCAGCGCCTCAGCCAGCTCCCCTGGCTCTGGCCAGGGGCGGCAGATGCCAGCTACTCAAGAAACAAGGACTGGCCTCCAACTCCTCAGGCCCCGGGAATCCCTATTAAACCTCCTTGAGAGCTGTCTCCAGAACTTGCAAAAGGAAGTATGGTTCCTTGCAGGTCCCTCAAGTCTAGAAGACAACTCTTCCCTTTTTGACTTAGGAGTCAGCCCTATAAACTACAGCCTTGTGGATGGCCCAGCAATGGAGTCATGCAGTAGCTTTTCTAGTGCCAGGCACTTTGTGGAAAAACCACCCAGGATGCCTCTCACCTTTCCACAGCTATGGCCACCAGTGTGAAAACGGAAGCTGATACTGACATGCCCTGCACCAAGCCGCTCATCTTGCACGTGGCGTTGTCAAAAGGCCACCCTGCAATGACAAAAACCACACAGAGTGAGTGATGCCTCACCCACAAAGAGCCAGAGGCCTCTGGCCATGTAAGCCTCCCTTTCTGTGCCTTGGATCTTCCCTTTATGGGCTGCTGGGAGTCATCCCACCTCCACTTATGCTCTTCTGAGAATGGACAGCTGACCAGCCCATAGCACATGGGCGGTCTGACTACTAGAGGGACAAGTTTCATATTGACCAAAGCTCTCTCTCCATGAGCTTTAGTTTCATCCTGTCCTGCCTGATTTCTGCTCATGCTGTCCTGGCCCAGGGTCTAGGCCAACGGTTCTTGACCCTGGCTGCTCACTAGAATCACATGAGCACTTTGAAAAGAACCAGTACTCAGGTCCAGCCCAGACCCATCACCATCAGAACTTCTAGGGCTGGGACCCAGATATCAGAATTCTTCAAATCTGCATGGATTCAAGGGCTGGTCAAAGTTGAGAAACACTACTACAGATCAATCCTGACTCCCAGGTGGGGCCATATAAGCAGCTCCAACCCCTCCTACCTGGTGTGCTCACCCCATCCCTGTCATTCCAGAGATGACAGAAAAAAGATACTACTTGAGCCATATCTTTTTGAATGACTCTGGCTCTTAAGAACCAGGACAGTGTTTTGTGTTTGGGGTGAAATGCAAAGTGGAATACTGACAATAACAAATAAATGCATAAGTGTATTGTAAATGGATAATATGACCATACTGAAGGGGGAGGGGAAGCAAGAAACTAACCTCAGTAATGTGGGGAAAACAGCATTTTGATTGTATTCTATACAACTACAAAAGCAACTGTATGTTAGTACTGTATTGTCATTAATAATTTGTTTCTCAGAGGGATATGAGTTAGCAATATGGTACCATTTGTGTATAATAAGATTGAACAAATAAACCTATTGCAAATAAATAGATTTCTCACTATCAGAGAAGTTACAAATGAGGAAAAGAAGAAAGTTAAAGTGAATCCTATGATATTGGATTAGATCATGGCTTTTAATATTTACACAAATGGGTAAATGTAGAAATCAATAAAGATGTGTAGGTTAAGTTGGTATGAGTTAGCATACATATATTTCCCAGTTTTGACCCTTGAGAGGGCCTAGAAGCAATCACACTCCTATGCCAATATTACCCAGATCTTGGTTTCTAAATGCTGTGCTCCTGCAAGTTACCAGGTTGGTCGATGGCTGGAGCAGAGAAAATAGAAAATGAGCCTGGAGTGTTTTGTGTTGCCAGAATGTAAGGAAATACTCAAACCAATCCTGGCAGCATGTCACAGGAACCAACTTGAAAGAGCTCCCTGTAGTTAAAGCCAGGGGTAATTTAAATATCAAAACAAATAAGGATAGTGTTGCATTATAATCCATAGGGTAAAATTCCAGTTAATAAATGTAGAAGAAATGATGTAAGTAGCAAGGGGAATTACAACAGTAATACTTGTAGGCAGGAACCATCAACTGTATGTGAAAATGGGTGGACAAAATCATGAGAAACAGGACGCTTTCATAGAGTCAAAGTTTCTCTCCATGAGATATTTGCTAATTATGAAAGGAAAATGGTAGCTTTCTAGTGAAAAAACCTGATAGATACATCTTATCCAAATGATTAAAGTTAATACCAACATTAACACATGTAGATATTATGAGCCTTATCAATGTGTAGCCTACATTATTCTTACCAAATAAGCATAGACTTAATCTAACTAAAAGAAGACATTAGGCAAACCAGAGTTGCAGGACATTCTGTAAAGTAACTGTCAAGGTCAAACAACTCAAACAACTGTCAACTGTCAAACAAGTCAAGCTTGTTAAATTCATGGAAGACCAAGGAACTGTCTACAGGTTGGAAGAAACAGACAATAAAACCATTAAATGCAATACATGATCCTGGGCTGGAACCTGGATGAGAAAAGTGCACTTGTGGAGAAAAGATGAAGTTCAAATAAAGTCTGCAGATTAGTTGCTAGACTGTGTCAACATTAGTTTCCTGGTCTCAGTCATGTATTATGGTTATTGAGGCTCCTAGCATCAGGATAAGGTAAATGTGGCACATAAAGCTACAATCTGCTCTGTTGTGATGTTTTAGTAAGTGTAAACTATATAGTTCAAAACAAATGAAAGCAAAACAAAAATTCTCCAGATTCAAAAGGTGATATACTGTGTGATTCCACTTATGTAACATTCTTGCAAAGGCAAAACCATCTTTTCTGTCCCTCCAGAAAGCAGATTGATGGTGAAGGAACAGTCTGACTGCAAAGGATGAAGGGAAGCTTTTTTCTCGGTGATGAAGTTGTTCCCCTCCTTGATTGTGGTGGTAGTTATGCAACTGTCTCTATTCATTAAAACTTGTGACACTAAAAAGAGTTGGGGTTTTTTTGGATGTTATAATTATACCTTAAATATTTAAATGTAAAGCATGCATGTATCCTCACTGCACATTTTATAAGAGGGCATACAAATAAGAAGACACATCCTACATTCAATAGGATGTTTACCGAGGGGCTGGGGAAGGAATTTAGAGTGGGGTAGGGAAGGGAATGAATGAATAAGACATAAATGAGGAGCTTCACAACAGGATTCAGGCAGGTGGTGCTTGGGGGTACAGAATGCCCTGTACATGTGCATTCTGAGGACAAGGAGGGGACGAAGAAAGAAAGAAGAGTGTATGAAATTTTGTTTTGTTGCAGAACTTCCTATCAGAAACTACCTGAATTGGGCCATCCCTGGTGGTACAACAGTTTAAAGAACAGCACTGTGAAGCTCCCTGCAGCAAGCCACTACAGCATGAGTGCAATCACCAGCCAGGGAGCTGACCCACATGGCCCAGCAGACCTCTCCTGTCTCACCCACTTCTCCCCTCAGCAGTGTATTTCAGTAGACCTGCCTGTTCTGCTCCCCACTCTGTCTCTGGTGAATCCTCTTACCCCCTGCACCTCTGTCCTATACCCCATGTCCTGTATGCATAAATAAATAAATCTTTAAAAAAAATTGCCTGCATTTCCATCAAAAGGAAACTGTTTAAATAAAGTTGTGGTACACTTATATAATGGAATTTCTAAGCCAGTGTAAAGAGAATAAAGAACTTTTATTTATTAATATGGAATAACTCCATGCAAATTAATTTTAATAAATCCTATTTACAATGTACATGGTATATTTTTAAGCTGGGGGTGGGGGAGAAGTAAAGATACAGAGCTATTTGAAAATTTAGTCTGGGCTTCATGCTTCTGCTTACATCCAATATATTTGGAAAGAGACACAGGAAACTGGCAACATTTTGTCTCCTGGAGAGGAACTAGAATGCCAGAGGAGAGGGGTGGGTGGGCAGATTTTTCACTGGGTCCCATTTGCTATCAAACACTTGTTAAAATTGAGGTATATAAGGAAAACTGACAGACATGATTCTAACCAGCATAGTGTTAACTGGTGCATGCGTGCATGCACATTGCCCTCTGCACACGTGTGCAGATGAATGCCTAGGAGTGTCTGTGTTTGGGAAGGAGAAGCCAACCATGTTTAGGTCCTGAAGAACCAAGGATTGGGCAGAGAGTAAAAGTCCTGCCAGACAGAGCCAGCTCAGCTAGGGAAGCTGACTGCCCTGGCTCCACTTCCTGGGTTCTGGAACCTACAGAAACATGGACTGCCCCCCCCCCGCCCCAAGTCAGGTGATGGCTCCCAAAGGGGCTATTTGAGCACTGGGTGCTGGGTCCTGGCTGCTGGGAGCTCCCAGCTCAGAGTCTGCAGACTCTGACCTCTAGGGGTCTCCACAGCTCTGGAAACCAGTCCTTTCCCCACCCAGAGTATAAGGGATGGTGGAATCTGATTCTGGAGCAAGAAAGAGAAATCACACAGAAGAGAGGATGTGATAGTGGGGTCCTTCTGACATCAGCATGGTGAATAGGCTGAAATTCAGTGTCCAGGTAGTCTAGTTCTACTTGAATCTTTTTCAGCAAATGCCAGTTCTTTTTTAGACACTCCCACAGACAGGGAGGTGTTTGTTTTGTTTGTTTGCTTGTTTTTTGAGGATCTCTCTTTTTTTTTTTGAGGACAACTTAAGTGGGTTTTCAGATCCTTATTTAGAGGAAATCTTTTTCACTATCACTTCTTACTGGTTCTAGTTCTGTCCACAGGTGCTCCCTGGGAGAGTAACACTCATTGGTGTAGTAGTTAAAAATACAGATGTGATGACTTTTGCAGCAACGTGGATGGAGCTGGAAGGGATCATGCTTAGTGAAATAAGCCAGAAAGAAAAGGAAAAATACCAGATGATTTCACTCATAGCAGGAACATAAAAGACTGGGGTGGGGGGGGGGAATAATAATAATGAACAGCTATATACCAGAGACATTTTATGGGGGTAGAGTGGTGAATGGGATCAAAAATGGGGGCGGGGAGTGCATGGAACTATGGTGATGGCACACGGGTGAGTTGGTGATGGGAAGCCCATGGGGATTACAACTGAGATGGGAAAAAGCACAAAATGATGTAAAAATAAACTATTATAAGAAAAAAAATTATGGATGTGAGAGGTGGGGCTTGACACTTAGCTGTGTAACTGTACACTGGTCCCTTATCGCTCTGAGCATCAATTTCTTCATCATTAAAATGGGATAATAAGGCCTAATTCATTGGGTTGTCGTGAGGATAATTAAGCAAACGTAGGAAGACCATGTCACACAATGTCTGATGCAAAGAAAATGACTCATTCATTGCATCTGGAAAGACTGGCTTGAGAGCTTGTGACACTAGTGTGCTGGCCTAGAGAGCAGGCTAGGATGATTTCTGGGGTGAGGGAAGCTCCTGTCTCCATTGGCTGCACTCACCAGTGATGAGGTTGTCCACAAGGGTGGTGGGCATGCAGAAGATGCCCACCAGCAGGTCGCTGACTGCCAGGTTGAGGATGAACATGTTGGTGACCGTGCGCATGTGCCGGTTCTTGAGCACTGTGAAACAGACTAGGGCATTTCCCACCATGCAGAGCAGGAAGATGAGCGCATAGGCCACGATGAACATAGCTGCCACCGGCGAGGAGTGCTGATAGTAAGAGGAGAAGGTGAGGCTTGCAGCTGGGGTGGCCTCAGCAGGGCTCCCATTCTGGCTGGGCAGCCAGCTACTGTTGGCAGGGTGGGGGGACACCCCTAAGAGCAAAAAGCACAGAGGTCAGGATCCTAGCAGAGACGAGATGGCTGACTTCCCACTACTGAGGAGACCCGGCTAGGCGCGCCAAACCCTGACCGTGCCCTCTGACCTCAGTCATGTGCTCAACTCAAGTGCACCTGGATGTCCTGATCCAAGACAGTTGGCCTACAACCACTCAAACCTGACCTCATGCCTCCCACTCCGTCTTGTCTGGGACGCATGTCCCAATGCCAGCTGCTCTCTTGCTGGACATAAAGCCTCTCTAGCCCAGCAAGTTCCTGTCCTGTGGGCCCTGCTCTCTGCCTCAGAGTCTGGCCTCTAAGGAGTCTGTCATCCAGGTTCCATGCCCTCTGGCGTTTGACCAGGTGCAGCCAATGGGAGGAGATTGAGGGACTGGAGAAGAGAGCTGTCAGGGAGATTCATCCCTGCCTCCCCTCCTGCCCGCTCTACCTCTGCCGGTGGGGCTGTCTCTATGGACACAGCTCCTGTTAGGTGACTCCTCTTCCAGAGTATAGCTCTTGCCACAATCACCCAACCTCCACCCTTACTCCAGCCGCTCCTGGTGATTGCCAGCCCCTGGCGCCTCCCTATCCACTATTGGTTCTGTACTCCCCCTCCCACCACAAATCCCCTATTAAACTTTCTGCCATTACATTCCCTCTAGGTAAACCCTTCCTATGTGCACCACCTGTTTTTTCCTGGGGTCCTGACTATTACGCTCGCAAAGTCTTCAAGGTCCTTCGTCATCTCTCCCATGGAATTGTGGCTGGCAAAGGCAAGGCAGCATTAGAGCAAGGGAGAATAAAGGGAGACCTGAACCAGGGCTAAGGAGTAAAAGCGCATTTAATTCACCAGAAAGCCACCCACAGCCAAGACTGCCACCCAACCTTTGCTTCCTCCCACTACAATATCAACTTCCTCATTGGCATGGTGTTTACAAAGCACACTTATATCTATTATTTTATTTAACCTGCTCAGCTACACCCAGCTACGCCCATCTGAAATGGGAGAACTGGGACTAGAGGGGTTCAAAGATTTGCTCGAGGTGACATGGGTCAGAGTGGCAACAGGCCTGCTCTGTGTTTCTCTCAATCAGTACCAGGTTTCCCTGTCTCTGCAGCCATGTTTGGAAGGGAGAGGTTCAGTGTCCAACCACAGCCCTTCTGGGAAGTCATTAGATGTGTTGAATCACAATGTTGTCTCATAAACTCTCTTTCTGCCTCCTCTGGGACTGAATGTGACTTGTTCTAGGGGATGAAGAGTCTTTGGGGAGTCTTTTGTAGCATTCAGAGCTTAGCCACTAACCTAGAGACCCATTGGAGATTTGGGAGCTAGAGGCTAGATAGACCCAGGAGGGGAACTGGGCCAATGAGTTGGCATGATTGGTGCCCTTGGGACCATCAGGTGCAGCAGGGGCACACATTGGGGGTGAGAGTGGGGGTGGAGGGGAGGTAGAGGACCTGCACTAGTGATGGAGAAACTAGAAGCTTCCTGTGAACAGTGAGAGGAGATGACACTCCCCTGATTAGAAACTCTGGGGCATCCAGTTGTACCCAAATATCTTTTTTCTTTTCCTTTAAAAAAAAAAGATTTATTTATTTATGCATACAGTACTGGGGTACAGGCCAGAGGGGTAGGGATGGTGAGAAGATTCACCAGAGACAGAGGGGGGAGCAGAACAGGCAGACTGATGAAGTACACTGCTGAGGGGAGCAGTGGGCGGATCAGAGGAGGTCTGCCCCGCCATGTGGGTCAGCTCCCTGGCTAGGGATCGAACTCGTGCTGTAGTGGCTGTGGACAGCTTCTTAATGCAGTGCTTTAACCCGCTGTGCCACCAAGGGAGAGCCCTCTTTTTCTTTTTAATATGGAAACTGTCAAACATGTATGAGAGAGAATGGTATAGTGGACATATACAAGAATATATTGTTTAAGAAATCATTACAAAAGAGAAGCATATGAAGGCAAACACCTATATATATCACCTTCAACAATACTCAGCTCAATCACACACATCTCTCCTTGCATTATTACATCACTTCCTTTCATCCCTAATTACTTCAGTTTCTATGCATAAAAAATAGGACATAACTGGCCCTCCCTGGAGGCACAGCAGGTTAAAGCACTGCACTAAGAAGCGTAAGCCACTTCCGCATGAGTTCGATCCCCGCCTGCCCCGGAGGTGACCACATGGTGTGGCAGACCTCTCCTGACCCGCCCGCTGCTCCCCTCAGCAGTGTACTTCGTTGATCTGCCTGTTCTGTTCCCCACTCTGTCTCTGGTGAAGCCTCTCACCGCCCCTGAGCCTCTGGTCTGTATGCACAAATAAATAAATCTTAAAAAAAAAAATAGGACATAACAAAACAATCCACAATGTCATTATAAAACCTAACACATTAAACAATTACGACTTTAAAAAAATACTTATTTATTGGGCCCTCCCTGGTGGCACAGCAGGTTAAAGCACAGCACTAAGAAGCTTAAGGCCACTTCCGCATGAGTTCGATCCCTGCCTGCCCCGGGGGAGATACACATAGCGTGGCAGACCTCTCCTGACGCCCCCCCCCGCTTCCCCCCTCAGCAATGTACTTCATCGATCTGCCTGTTCTGCTTCCCACTATGTCTCTGATGAATCCTCTCACCCTCTGCATCTCTGGCCTATACCCCCATTCTGTATAAATAAATAAATCTAAAAAAAAAAAAATTTATTTATGCACACAGAATTGAGGTACAGGCCAGAGGTGCAGGGACGGTGAGAAGATTTACCAGAGACAGAGTGGGGAGCAGAACAGACAGATCAATCAAGGACACTGGCGAAGAACACTGCTGAGGGGATCAGCAGAGGAGACAGGAGAGGTCTCCTGCGCCATGTGGGTCACCTCCCCAGCCAAGGGTCAAACTTGTGTTACAGTGGCCATGAACTTCATAGTGCTGCATTTTAACCTGTTGCACCACCAGGGAGGACCCAAACGATTATGTCTTAATATTGTCAATGGTAGTGTCCTTGGTCCCCTAATTGTTACATAATTAAAAAAAATTTGAGTATGAATCCAAATAAGATTTCTGTGCCTATTAGCTACTGTCTATGTGATACCCACAATTTAGAGTAGGGCACCCAGGCTTGACAACCTGCATGACCGTCTTCCCAGTCTTCTCGGGATTACTCAGGCAGCAACAGTCATGGGGTGACTCAAAGGGGATCCAAGGTCCAAGCTGGCCTCCCTCACATGCATGGTAGTTAATGCTTCAGCATCCTGGTTCTCCTCCACATGACCTCTCATCCTCCAGGAGGCCAGATTGGCCTTCTTCACAGCTTGGTGAGCTCAGGGTTCCAGGATAGCAAGAGAAGAGGCTACAGATTCCTTAAGACCTAGGATCCAGAATTTTTACAGCATCATTTTTGTCATATTCTATTGGTCAAGTTAACTCAGCCCAGAGTTAAGCCAGAGGAGAAATAGTTTCCACCTGCTGATAGAAGTGACAAAATTACATTGCAAAATGGATGATCATGATTCACTGAAGTCCATTATTTTAAAATCTGCCACCACCTCCACATTACATTTCGCGAGTGTGGCTCTTCAGTTTCTAGGTTCTCCCTCTGCCTCTTTTCCCCATGGCAATTTACTTATCAGATAAATTACTGGGTCATTTGTCTGTTCCTCGCAGACCTGGTTTTGTTGATGTGCCTTCATGGTATCATTTTATGGGTCCCACTCTCTGTTCCCGGTAATTCCTATAATTGACAGGTCTGAGGCTTGATCAGATTATGTTGGATGATGTTTCTTTTTAATGCTAAGCTTGATCTGTGGACTCAGGAAGTGTCAGTCTGATCCCTCCGTCATCAAGTTCCATATCAGCTTTTCACCGATGTTTTCAGCAGCAGCCACAAATGATTATTGCTTAAACCTCCTTGTTACAACTCAAATTCTGCATGCTCATATCTGTTGCCATCTCTCCAGCCTCAGCTCTGGTAGTCTCTCCTTTGCTGTCTTGCTCTGGCTATCTTACACTGGCTCCCTCACTCTTGTTTTCTCCAATCTCACAGCCTTTATCTCTTGCAATTTCTTCTGCCACTTTCCTTCTTTTAGCTCTCAGTTTGAATGTTGTTCTGGCAGAGAAGCCTGAACTGATCAGCCTATTTAAAGTCAGTCCTCCACTATTTCTCTCACAGCATCCTATTTACTTTCTTCAATCTGTCAATATTTTATTAGTTTTCAGGTTTATTGTTTTTTCATCACCTTTGAAGTCAGCTCCTGAAGAGTAAGAATCTTTCCGGTCTTAATGACAGCTGTCTCCGCAGCATCTCTTCAGTGCCTGCCTATAGGAAATGGTTCATTAAACAGTTGTTGAATGAATAAATATTTATTTGAATGGAAAAGAGAATTTAGCTGATGCCAGGTGATAGGGTCCTGCCCAAAGCCAGCATTGCTGGTGTGAGAAAGCCTTTTCCTGAGAGCTCCAGAAAGATCCCACATCACAGTATCTGTTAGGAGCAGCTCCTGCCTGCTGCTCCCCTTTCTCTACCAGGCAGCTCACCCCACTGAGCCTCAAAATCAGCTCTGAACCAGTTTACATGACTTGGGGAAATCTCTGAGTGTGGATGAGTGTGGAAATTGCCAGAACCTACTCGGCTAGACTCTGGTCTTTCCTTTTTACCCACAGCCCTTCACTTAGCCTCGACAAACTGCTTAATGAGTTTATATTGCAAACTTGTTCCTGAGTCATATCTGGGGTGATCTTGCCCGCCTCTACACTCTCGTATGAAGCTGGAAATGAGTCTCTACACCTAGTCCTGCATTGTGGACTGTCTTTTCTCAACGAAGGATTCCTCCCTAACCCTAGCAACTCTCCTGGGATGTGGTGTAATGGAGTGGAGGCAGGCAGGCCTCCCACCCCACTGGGTCCCATGCTAGCAATCAGACACCTCATTAACACCCTGTCCTTTCTGGGGATCTGCCTGGTACCCTTATGGATATATTGCATCCTGTGAAAATTTCATCCA